CTCATGTGATGTTGCTATGAGAAATGGGCGCTCTATTGCACTACGACACTCAGGAAAATCAGCAAGATACGACAAGACGGTAAGCGGACGAAGTAGTCTGTGCTAGAGAGGTATCGTGTTAGTTAGGGAAGTTAGCAACGTCAGAATTCATCATTTGGTATTAGTAAATCAAACAGTGTAGATTAAACGTTCATCATGGTCTTTCAAATTAATCTGTATCAATGCTTCATCTTTCAAAGAAAAGTTTCCCAAAGATTGTTAGATGCTTGGGAGAGAGAGGATGAGAGAGATGGGGAGAAAAAGAGAGAGAGGGAGAACTATGGCGGTATGGAAGTGTGCTATGAAAATTCTGTTTATCACCATTTATTCTATTCACGACGAAATTAAGCTTGAATACCTGCTTGACATGACGTCTGACCGTTCAAACATGAAAAACGTAAGGTATGCGGAACGGTGGATAATCAAAAGCAGAATATGAGAGAAAAACCTTACTTCTCATTGCAGCCGTGGCGGTGGGTCGACCATTCGAATAGACAGTGGCCACGCCGCCAGCTGGTACTGCCTGTGCATAGAAGTCCTTGCGGTTCTGCGACTGCGCCGTCGCAGCGTTTCCCATTGCCTCTTCGACTCCAGAAGAATACGACGATGACTGACAGTCCTCGGCAGGCGATCGAGCAGCCAGGCAACTCGCCAAGTTAGCAGTGCACAGACGGAGCAACAGCTGACACTATCAATGAGGCGAGAGTGATGCCGGCGTGAAATGCATCTCGGCCAAAGAGAGTACTGCAACATAAATGCGAGGGTAACAACGTGATAGAGCAGAAATGAGCGGCGCACGAGCAGAAGTGGCTTATTTCAGAGAGCATATGATAACGGAAATGTGCGAAAGTAATGAAACGACGACAGAAGGTAGTAGGACAGCGGTCTGACAAGAACAACATGTGGAATGGCTTATATTCATGTACTGTGAGTTGAAGTACTGGAACAGTGGAATCGTTTATGTTCGAACATAAACGAATAGTGAGGAATTAATGTCTCATATACAGTAGATATGAGTCCTACAAGATGAGCGGTGATCCAAAGGAGTGAGTTTTAAACGATCTCAGTTATGCACACGTGTGCATCCACAGAAAGTCCATGTGTTCGTGATAGGATCCACCTGTCAGTGTGCGTTCACGACAGCTAACTCACTTCGCTATCGATATCCATCAAAGAATGCAGAAAATTCTACGCTGACACTGTTCGGTGGTGAATGTTATGAGAGTTTCTCCGTTCAGTATAACATGAAACACGAGGTGATTTCCGACGAATGAGAGCGACAACGACTGAGTGGATTTTAAAAAGATATCAATTTCAGTGGTAAAAGAGGTTATTTTGAGTTCGTGACATTGAATATGCATGTTTTCCCGACACGGAAAGATTGCACTTAATTCGAAATCAGAGTTCTGCAGTGAAATAAGACTTCATATGAGGATTCTATTGGCTGGAAAAATTAACGGTCATGGTCATTTTCACATACAAACAACGATAAGAAGGACTTATTGATAGCCAAACTACTCCCATAGCGATTAGAAAAATTAGCAAGAACGGAAAGTGCTCTACAGGTTCTCAGTAAGCCAGTCGTCGTGATTAATTTCTGATTCGGAAGTGGTAGAGGAATCGATGTGAGCGCAATATGAGTTCGTGTCCCTGGGTTCCGACAAACACCTCATACTAATGAGTGGAATTGCTTTCGTAGACAATTTGATGTCCAGAGAGCTTAACGTCAAATAAAATTCATCAGATTTTCCTCTCTGGAAACGGCCCGACAATAAGGGGACGGCTGCTTCCTTTCGCTTCCACTTAGACTCCCACATTCTAACGATCAGCGAAATAAGTCGAAACGAATATACCGTCAAAACTGCACGTTGTACCCAAGGCGATATCTGGAAAAATGTGCACAATGCCTATCCCTGCCGATAATACGAGATTGGACGTACAACCAAACAACAACTGGAATCACTAGCAGCCCTTGCGATGTAGTACTGTCTTCTCAAAGTAGTTCTATTGGGTAAAATGACGCACCATGAGACGAGTTGCCAGTTTAGAAGTGCCCTGTTCACTATCGGAAATATATTCTCCTAAAAATCGAGAACGGCAACCATGCAAGTAACAATTAGCAGTACCAAACTGACGTTATGAATGTCTAGGTGTGCTACAAGGAAATGTCACATTAAGGACAAGAAACAGAATAAAACGAGGAATTAAATTCGTGGGCTGAATGACCAACACAGACCGAGCACAGTGCCCAAGAGTGCTCATCGAGTGACGGAGAGACAGGTGAGGCCGGCACAGGTGTGATGTGGCTGCGACCGCAATCCTAGCCCATCTCCAGGCGCCCACTCTTGCCAGTTTCGGCAGCTACTGGACCATCTGCTACTAGTCCCACTATCCTATACCAATACCGTAGTGTATTTAGTTCTAAAAAGCGTTTCACCTTTAGAACATCTCCAATATGGAAAATAAAAATGTAAACAACGAGATGACTCGATTCTTTTAGTTTACGTTTACGAAACTACTTTAGGGCACTCGTGCCCCGCAGGGATGGTTATGCTCGCTTGCTCTGTGAAGACCATGTAAATTTTTAAAACAGCGAACATTTGCCTTTTACAATCACAACAACTCTATTGAACAAAGCATGTTTACAACTTACGATTACGTCAGCTTAGTTGGATAGATCGCGTTTATTGGGATTTTTAGAGTCACAACAGAAAGTGTAGCATATTTCCTGTTAGCTTCGCTTCAGCCTTAATTTCGAACTAAACATATCAAACTATGCTCATAAGTCTAATATGAGTGCTTCCAAGCTAAATCGAAATGCGTATCCTCAGCAGAAAAACGTTTTTGCCCCACCCTCCTTAGTTCCGTACTAGATATATCTGTGCGTTCTCTATTCCACCATATGATTTATTTCTAATAACGATGTCTGTCCAATGTCTTAATTTTAAAAAAATTTTCAAAGTATGTTTACTGCTAAGTACAATGACTAGAGGACTCGTACTGGTTCTCTGACACGACGATGATAGCGCACATTCTATTTTTAGCCGCGTGGGACAAATGTGTTATTGCATTCTTTTCTTTCCGTCCGGCACACCCCTGAGATGTATTACGCCAAAACGCAGGTTTTATTTTCGTCTCCCGTTATGACATCGTTCTTTTTTTGCATTCTCATAGAACGACTTGGTTATTTCTACCGCCTTAAGTTGTGGATACAGTGACGATAATCACAACCTTTTTTAGTTCTGAAGTGAAAAGTTGGCTCGCTTCAAGTCGATGACGACAGATATGGTGCTAATGCTATTTACAGTGTTCAACTTTTATTTTCCTTCACTTCTATTTTATTTTACTTTAGGTGATTCCTGTTGACAGGTGATTGCTGAGGTTCGGAGTTTTTCTCAAATCTCAGCATCCTTGTGGTTGTATTTCACACGGTACCTTGCTATGAGGAAAATAGGTAGTAAATAAAAGTTAAGCATTGCGACGTCGACTGCAGCTTCAACTTAACGGGATTCAGTGCCGATTTGTACTCCCCAGGTCGTTGTCGTTGACATATGGTTGCTGATAGCGCCGCTAAAGTAGGAAAAAAAACTGCCTGAGAGATACGGAAAGCAAGCTCCTCGATTGGTTAGTTGGCACTCGAGCCCCGGTAAGGGGAATCGTGGGTTCGTAGCCGACCTAAGGTTTGGGTTCTGTTAATATTATTTATTTTACTTATTTATACGACTCGTCTTCTCATATACTGCTCGGATCTCTGCACTTCTTGCCCTCGATTCGTTTCCGCAAATCCACCATCAACGAAGGTCTTCAAACTTATAGCATATGGCTTACACAGCTGCTTGAGGATTGCCGTTTTCTTCATGTCATTAAGTTGGTTAAATGGTCGAGCTGATTCTCCTTGGATTCCTGGGATTACTACGCTAAGTGTTCCCATCTGATTGCAGGAAGTGAGCCGTTCCCAGAGAAGTTTGCTAGCAATTTTCCGACCACGGGTAGATAAGAGGCTTGATGAGCTCGAGTGAGAACGAATCTGCACCATGCTCGTGATGAAGGTACCACTACCACTGTGCTGTCAGCACTCTTTTAGGCTACTAGAATATATATAATTCTATATGCAATATACAATACAATGGACCATATATATATATTTTTGAAAGCATGTCATCACTGTAATGCCAGTAACCGATTAGGAGAGAGGCGATCTGATATAACAGTATATTTGTTGCGAAGAAGTTGATTCAAAGGAAGACTAACTTGATTGGAAAGGTTGAAAAGAATTAGAGAGGCGAACCAGACAGAGACTGTAAAGAAACTCAAGGAAAGGAATGTGCTGTACAAAATAGACAAGGAGCTCAAAAAATGCCAAGAATAGATATGTTGGTTCTTCCCATCAATCATGCACTAGACCAGGAACACCAAGGATTATATAGAATACCGTTACGTGGCAGGAGTTCTTGTTAGTATGATTGATTTACTGGCTGGCGTTTGTCAGCAAAGATTTAAAGTTGTTACTGTTTGTTCTCTCATTTGATGACTGAAACTGCAAGATCGATGTTATGTAAGATGTAGACTAAGCACGCGAATGGCAGGGCTTCAACCCGGGTTGATCGACTTCGCCTAGGCAGACGGAAGCACGTACACAACCTTTACTCGATATGCATTAGATAAACTCGATGGAATCTAAGTAGCGTCAAGTAAACATGTTGCCTATGTTATTCGATGTCGTCAAGGAAGCAATGACGCCGTGTTATGAGTAGGTACGGCGGACCAGAAGATGTTCCTAGTATCACTAGTTCTTCTACTTTTATCGTTTTTAGCAAAGAGAAGTGTAAAATTTGAAAATGTTGTTACTTCCGTAAGTAAATGAGTATTAATGAGGGCTGGCTTGTTTCAGGGAGTTCAAAATCGGATAGAAACACTTCGACTCGCCGATAGTATAGGAGGAAGGTCGTGGGTAGGGGGCGTCAGTGTGTTCTGCTTTGAATATCCTCGTACTTCGTAATTTTAGGCAACCAGATTAAAGCGGCATGTGACCAGCGGCTTTTGCTTAGATGCAATTGTGAAACGAAGGTGTGATACCGAGAAAATAATAATTGGAGTGAATTTGAGAGCTTTCTGGGCCTGAAGGAATTTTTGCTCTTAAACCCGTGCCCCCCTATGGCACAATTTTATTTAAATATTCGAATTCCATCGCAATTTAACGCTATCGAAAACTGTCGTTTAAACTGAAACAAAACTGTTACGAGGGCCATATCAGTGTAATATACCTAGAAATGGTTTTTTTTCTACTGTGAGGGGTCTTTGTGTCGTCTTCTATCATCTCAGGTCAGTCATTGATGTCACATCTTTGCCTGGTGTGAACAATATTGAAAGCAATCAGTAGATAAGCAAAAATCTTTTGAAGGAATCTGTTGGAAAGGTGTGCTCGATGGCCACAGCTTTGGAGGATATCGAATAACCTACCAAACGCGTGCTGCTGCCGAGCGATAATTTCGTCTCGGATCGTCGTCGACCGATTGAAGAACGAGCATAAGTGGACAGGAAGAGCTCTGAGTCCGAACATGGCCACGTGTGCTGCCCAGTAGCCCTAGAAAGCGCTTCGCGATCAGTGCCTGTCCGATTGCAGCGCTATCAACTAGTCACTTTAATCATGGAGGGCTGGAAAAGAGTACCAAACCTTAAAAGATCGAAACTAAGTCTTAGATTTCAGACCCATTATCATGTCATAGTTGATGCTGATTACGGCGCTGTGAATTAGTGAATTAACAGCAAAGGAGAATCGCCGTGTTATAAGTAGGAATAGAGTTAGTTAGGACAAATATTTCTTTTCGTGATATGTTAGGAGGTGCCCTATTTGAAATGGACCCGTTTCTCCCAGTTTCATCGTGTCAGGACTACTTCAGCAAACTACGGCTCTACTTGTGGCCTAGACAGAGCTCCATCTGGCACTACTCTCTTGGAAACGAGAATTTACATGACTTCATTCGTCGCTGTACATTCCATGTTGATGACGGCGGTTTCCACATCAAATTAATAAGCTTTATTGTGTTCTCGATGGTTTCCATTCCCAACTGCGTAACTTAGCACTCAATGAGTTCTACAGCAACAAAAACTGTTGCGTAGCATCTCTTGGTTCCAATGATTAAGGGCTTATTCTCTTGTTTTGCTTGTATATTTCTCAAATTTTTGACATATATTTTGAACGCTTAAAAACAATAGAGCGTCCTAAAAAGTGAGCGGAAGTCGCTAAACTTCAATTTTAATCTATGTTGAATTTTTATTTACTGCCTTTTAATAGCGTTCGTTCCCCACCGCAGACACCTGCGGTGCGGAGTTTTGCAAATATCTTGGCATCATTGTGGTTCTTTCACGAATAATACCCTGTCGTGAAAACTTGGGAGAGGTACTAAATAAAAAAGTCAACCTTGTGAATTGCAGCTACAGCCTCAGCTTAACTGGGTTCAATGCCGATCTGGACTCCCTAGATCAACACTGTTGACGGGTGGTTGCTGATGGCGCTGATCGATAGAACTAGCTAAGAAACAGGCGACACGGATGACCCGCATGGTGTGGTGGTAAACGCGTTAGCACCCGGAGAGGGTAATAGCATGTTCCGTTCCTTGCGGTACAAAATTTTGCAAATATCTCAGCATCATGGTGGTTATAATCCTTATTCTAATACTTCGATGAATGACGGATTTCTGCAGGTTATAAGAATCCATGATTGCCTCATAAATGTTTCGGAGGAGTGAACATTTCGAAAATATACACAGTTTTCTCGAACAACAAAATTTCGTCAACTTAGAAATACTTTTGAAAATAATAAATCCTGCCGTAAGTGGCTTTGACGTTAAATTATGTCAATGAGAGAGTGTATACCCTTAAAAAAGAACTTAAAAAGCTGTGAACTTGGGTTTTGTTCTCAATCAAGAGACAGTGGTGTCCTAGTTGTATAAATAACCCAGTAGTGCACACCACAAGAAGTTGGCTTTTCGTCACCACATATCCCTGATGTATAGGACTGTTTCATTCTAGGACTGCTTTATTCTAACCACACGTAAGAATACATGATGCATCTTGCTCTTTAGCTTTTACTATTATAAATGAAAACTGGGATCGTCAGTAGTTCGTGAGAACTTATAAAGCATCTGAGCATTACTGCTTGCCGAAGGTAAAGAAGTTAGCCAATGATGGCTTCTGCTTGACAAATCCATTATCAAAATAATTCCAGTGGGCGCGGGTAAGTTCTTCATTTGTCCATGTCGTGTATGAGAGTGACCCAGAGGATTTCGCTCTTTCTAGGAGCTTGCTGAGCATTACGCCTTCATATTGTAGTGATATCTTAGCATTCTTTATTCTATTCTTCATAACAATGTTCGTGGAAGTTACTCACCTCTTCGGCAAACTTTCTTGCATCTTTTTCTTTCATTTTTTTCGCTTTATTTTGCCTTCGGGCTTAGTATCCTGATCGACCATCAAAACGGTCGAACTGGAACTGGTACGGACTCGGGGAATCCGACTGTCTAATTAAAACAGAGGAGACTTGTCTCACTCGAGCGATCCTCTACTGAAGAAGATTCTATTCGATATAACGATGAAGATACCCCATCAAAAATACGAACGACTGTGGCTATTGGCTCGTGTTATCAGCTCTGATGAAGACGAAGACGTCGAAAAGTCAGCCGAACAAAGTTTTTTGTCAGCCTCGTATTTACCTTATCAATGAAAGAATGCATGACGATTTTCCTGCTTTCGTTTTCTAGATGGACTAACCTTAGGTCCTTTTGTAGCATTTGGTTTACATCTATCAACAAAAAGAAACTCGGTGCATAAACCCATCCCCGTTTACCAAGGAGGCAAGAACATGATTACGAGTGCAATAAATTTCTGTATGAATTGCCTTATGCGGTTACGAAATGTGTTTTATAGTTTCACATGAAGGACTAAACAAACCATCTTCAACCATGACTAAAACATCTGGTTCCACTCCTATTTTCCCACTTTCGGACCTTGACCAATGCATATTTTTAAGGTCGTTCGACAAAGTGGATAAACAGAAGTGTAGTATTCTTGGCTAAAAACGCCTACATTGTCTTGAAGAAGAACTTCGCATTCAGTAAAACAGTCGCTAGACTCTACAGTACAATCAAATGCATATCTTACTTACTTGATACTTGAACGGCCCGTCCTCACTCGTTGTGCGGCCCCCAGTATAATCTCCATTATTCGGAAATTTGCTGGTTAAGCCATTGTGGTGACCTGGAATCCTGAGGTCAGCCTGGCCAAAGTCTGCTCCAGTTCTTCGCCATCACAGGCAGTCGCAGCCCTTGTGGATCAGAGGGAGATTTGCCACCATGCAGCCTTAATACCAAGACGGTGGTGGATCCTGGTATTGGTTTACTCTTAGAGGGGGTTCCCGAAGGAAACGCCGAACTCCTTCTCAGCTTGGGAGACCCTGCCAGGGCGACGAATCCCCCCGCTGTACATCGCAGTCCGACACCCAGGAACACCTTCCAGCCACGAAGGGGCGGTAAATCGTCGGGAGGGAAGTTCATATCATAGGAAACTAATCCCGCTGTGAATCTCCAATAATAAGGGCGCCTAGAAAACATGAAGTATGAGCCAGTGGCTGATTACTCACTCTGAAAGCGTAGAATATTAAGAACTAGTGATGATGCTGTGGATCCTGTTGAATGCATGGGGGAGAAGTTAGGCCAGAAATAGTCACCAGTTCCATCAGTTTCGACAGTTTCGCATTAGTCATCTGCCACGAATTTCCAAAATCACATAAAACAGACTTGAGATTTTCAGACTGCTCGCTAAGCTTCTATGTGAATTGTATCCGGTTGCTGATGAACTTTACCGGGCTATGGGCTATGGTTGTATATGGAAACAAGGTGTCTTCGATTCCGAGCATATTGCAATTCCGCAGAATGCGCCTTTCAAAAAATTTTATGGAGATCTTCTGCAGTAATAAGGCTTGCATAGCCTTTTCTGGATTTTCTAAAACCATAGTCTTCACTTCGAATGCAAATTAAGTGCTGAAAGCTTCACAATCTCTAATGCGACATACATGGTTTGAGATTTGGTCACGATTAGAATCATCGGAATTCATTTTGAGACTTGGAAGTATTTATGATCGTAGATGAAGAAATATCAGTATGGAGCAAGAATGTAGTATACGTGTCCTACAACTTATGCGCGGGTGTGGCGCAGTGGCTGGAGGCGCCAATGCGACACACACACATGGAATCGATCTCCGCGCCCATGGCTCACCAAGCCTTCCACCCCTTCGGGGTCGGCAAATTGGTATCAGACGTATCTGGGAGGAAAGCAGCACTGGTTCGATACATCGATAGGCCACCGTGAATTATTGTAAAGGCCAGATATACATTCAATCACCTTCAAACGATGATTAGTGAAGTCAAGTGCATGGGGTATCCCTCAGGGATTGATCAAAGCCGAGAGCTTTATCCTTTTTATAATCGGTATAAAGCATCTTTTGAAAAAAAATTCGCAGAAAATGAAGGCCGTTAGAGATTTAGTAGTGTTGATTACTGACTCGCATATTTAAGCTGCCTGTTCTAGAAAACTAAAGATGTCAGCGCGGGATGTGAATTATTTGTGTTCTACAGGAGTACCGCTCAATGTTGTTGCTGGTATTCTTCATAAGATACTTCGTTCCCCTATCTAATCAACTGTAATTCTCATACATCTGGCGCCTTTCTTATGATTTTATTCAACCCTTATAGCAACTATCGCCGGAATAGTTACTATTTCTTTCTATTACTGCATGTTTCTGTAGTAAGGATCAGATCTACTGTTTCTCAAGTTGCCTGGCAAATGTCGTAGTACGTAAATATTTTGATCCTATCCTAAGGAACTTCGTATAGAGAATTCCTCTATCTACCTAGCAGACATTCAATGGGTCGATGGAGACGGCCTTTGCCACAAGACCACTAGACACAGCATCACGTGACCATCGGTCACACCACCGGGCATGCTGCTGGGTACGTCTTATTGCTTGGGGAATGGACCCCGCGACCCGGGCCTTGAAAGCTAGTGGTTATTCGGTGTCGAGAACTAACCCGAAAGCCTATATTCCGCTAGCAACTGTGATAACCTTCCCTAGTTCGCGTTATACGCTCCTGAAACCCCAAGTTCGTCGGGGCAGTTAGGTCCGGTTTGGTAAATTTTCACGACTATTTAGTAGCTGTCGGTACAATTCTTTTCAGTGTTCTACTGGAAGTAGGCACATCTGTCAGCATCACAAAAGGTTTTCAAAAGTCTCGGAACCATAGCAGAAACCGGGAGAGGTACTAGTGAAAGCTGATGAGCGGGAGGTCCTCGATCGCTTGCTTCACCGATAGCTATCTTCTGCAGCTTGAAAATGTGCTACGGCGGCCTTGGTTTCTTGCTATATCTCTTATCCGTCTTTTATCACCTGTCCGTAATCGATAATAAGTCTTGATAGTTCTCCTTTTTCTCTACTACTTCAAGTGATCTTGTTCAGGCAGTGTTATTGAAAGTCTACGGTTCTTATCGACACTAAAATACCCTTTAGATGTTGCTGCACGCATGAGCATTACATTTGGAAAACTTGGACTCCAGGCCAGATTCGAGCCCGCGATTACTCTTTTTACAGCATCAGCTTAACTAGACTCAATGCTGATTTTTGATTTGAGATCATTACTGTTGACAGGTGATTGCTGATGGCACCGTTGAGGTAGAACACTGGCTGAGAGGAAGTAAAACGAAACGAGGGCAGTAACACGTGAGCTCCCGGAAAGTGTAGTCGCAGCTCGAATCTGGCAAGAGGGCTAAGTTTTGCAAATATCTCAACTTCATTGTAGTTGTGTTTCACATGATGTCCTGCCGTGAAAAAGAATGGTAGGCGGTAAATAAAAAGTTATGTATTGCTTCCCAAATACCTTCCAAAATTGTAACGTCACATATTTAACAAATAGCAAAAAATAAGTTTCGTGCTTCAACCAACCTTTTCTTTTAATTACTTTAAATCGTGCTCAATCCATAAATTCTCTAAAACACTTAACGTTGATTTTCAAAGGTCTAAAACTGCAGTTCCAATAATTCGGTTAACTCCATGAGCAACATAGTGCGTTATCCTTGTTACATCCCTGTGGTACTACATTGTCGACTTCAAAGAAGTGAGCAGACTCGTCAGCACTCGTGACCTAATGAGTCGAGTCTTGAAAATATCCTATTTCTTATTATTTAAAAATTATTGCGGCGGAAATTCAACCAGAGTTGACAATCAAACTTTAATTCGACTCCTAAGATTTCAAGTTTAAGATCTTATATGCCGGCTTTTCTCGGCGCAAATTCATAGTTGTTTGGTGTAAGCTTACGAACCTGCCATTGTTGAGGTGTGAGAGACGAAGCCAGGTAGCACAGCCACTGTTCCCATGAAGCGCTGAGCTGATCGGCTGGCAGTGAGCCAAACGAGAGGAAGTGTGCAGGTGATGAGAACAAAATCTCCTGAAAAGCACTAGTCAGCTCATTCCCATGCACTTTCGTTGCTACATCGCCAGCACCAAAGTGATTTCTGTGTAAGCTACCCTACCACGGATACCACTCGTCTTCTTCTAAGCAAGCAAAACCTCAAAGTTTTCACCGAATTATGTCAAAATGATCCATATTTCAAAAGTTCGACTGCATGGCTAGAATTGTATATGTGTTTGACAACTTAATATTCAAGAAGAATCAAAAAACTGCACTGAGTTGCTAAATTTTAGCGAACTGATGAAGACGGGACACATGAACACATAATATTTACCGTATCTTAATAACATAAGCTGAAAAAGTTCTCAGTGTTGATCAATCTATTAGGGAAGCGCCATTAATTCGACCTCATTAATCATTGTTTGGAGGTGATTGAATGCATATCTGGCCATTAGAATGATTCGCGGTGGCCTACCGATGTATCGAGCCCGTGCTGCTATCCTCCTAGATAAATCAGGTAGCAATTTGCCGACCTAGGAGGTATGGAAGGCTTGGTGAGCTATGGGCATGGGATCGATTCCACGTGTGTTGCAGGACGTCTCCGACCACTGCGCCACAGACGCCCGTCTTTATGACATACGTTATTAAATTTTTATGAATATAAAACATGACAAGAAGAGTCGATTTCGTTCAGACGATGAAGAGATGCACTAGAAATTTAGTAAAAACCGTGATGATGGCTGAAGATGAGAGCTAGAAAAATACTCTATCATTAGATCAGTTTTATGACCAACTTTAAGAAAACCAAACAGTGAAATCTTCTCATTGCTACTCTCATTTCCCCACTGAATATTAGTGAATCGTGGTGAAAAATAGCTCTGGCAACGTCACTAATCAATGTAAAATCTACAACGACGCCTCGAACTTCATATACTAAGGAAACCATATACTAGGTGGCTAGTTTAGAGGCTACATGGCACCTCCTAAAAAAGTGGTGGGCGAGGATTAAAGGTGGAGAGAAAACGAACTTATATGAGCGTGCACTCAGATTATGCATGGGCCACCTGCTCCTTGAGATTGAAAATATACCTTCAATGATGCTGAGATATTTGCAAAATTCGGGATCGCAGGTGTCTGCGGCGGTGAACGAACGCGCTATTGTCCTTTCCGGGGAGTAACGTGTCCACCACCACACCATGCGGGTCCTTCGTTTCTGTCTCTCGGCTAGTTCTATCGATCTTAAGGAAGGACAATAGCGCGTTCGTTCCTCACCGCATACACCCGCGGTTCGGAGTTTTGCAAATATCTCAGCATCATTGAAGTTATATTTCACAATGTATACCCTGCCGTTAAAAAGAATAGGCAGTAAATAATAGGTTAAAATATACTTTCAGTAATTATGTAAATTACCAAAAATCATATTTAGCCCTCACGTCAGAGGCTCACAAGATTCCCGGCAGTCCTGATCATCAAAAACGATAACAGTAGCCAGAATCATTTCCTTGAATTCGAAACGGTCCCCACTAGTAGTAGTAACGATAGAATTAAGTTCGATGTCGTCAGAATAACCGAATCATGAAGACGTCACCCGTCGAACATTAAAGACTCGAATTAGGCATTTTTGGTTGGAAAGATACCCTGTAGTCTTCGAAACTCTTCGTCACCTACGACAAAACATCAAACTACAGCAAAGTGGTAAGAATCGAGTTATTTTTTGGCACTTGGAGAATTACTTTAGAAAAAGATGATCTAAGACCTTTACATTAAGACTGCCCAGGAGAACGCTAAATGAAGTTCATATATCCGAATTTACCATGGTAACCAACTCACAATGTTTCAGAAACATTCACTTGAGCGTTTGTTTACTCTCTTTAGTAAGATGGGACCAGAAATGGCGTCGAAGTGCCGGGACGAAAGCATTCATTATAGATCAAAAAAGTGACCAGAAAAATTAACTCTTAAGCAATTAAATTGAAAGGGAACTATGCGGTTTGAAATTGAATTAATAATGAATTTTACTTTCATCATTTCCAACCGATAGATCACAGTCATAGAGGGATCTCAACTCGATTAGCCGTGAGGCAATGTAACGTGTCCTCAGGTGGCGAATGGATAGTTAGTCGCGAACTAAAGACGACCTTATGCTTCCCTGAGATGAAGATGAACCTTGAGAATGGACCCGCTGCTCCTTTTACCCTTTAGGATATGGAACATACCTTCTGTGTTTACGAGGATGCATTCATGCATGTGTGCGTGGGTATATTCTTGTTTATGCATATTGTATTCTACGAATCCATTCGGCCAAAAGCTTGCGACCTAGTAAAAGGGAGCTATGCTGAATGCGGTAAGGATCGCCTTCAACAAATAAACACCCTGTATACTCTGGCAAGCTACTCATGAAAATACCCACCCCTCAGGTTCAGGGCGCTGCAGGCTAAGCCTGGGAATCAAAAGCTAAACACGGTAAAATAAGTCGACCACACTCCCCTAACTCTGAAAGAACTCCCGATGAGGCAGCGTTGGGTAGACGAGTACGAAGAGGCTTATTAAATTCTTAGGAGTATTCTGGGCTGCCTAAATCGCAAAGCACTAAGATAAGTACCTACAATGCATGCATATTTGCATCTGAGTCCTCGATAGAAGACTTGATGGTGTAAGCAAGAAGGATAATGTGCGAATTCATTCGATCGGCCGAGACGAGACGAGGCCACCCATCAACGCCGTCTAGGACATCGGAGAAGAACTGTTCTTCGGAACATGCGATAGTAAGAGGAGACGTTAGCATCGGCGCCCTCATCTAAACGAGTTTGGCCAACAATTGCAATGGCCATCAACGACTTGATTCACTGAAGCAACTAACAACCCTAATCGGACGTTTACGATTGAAGAGATGTGGATAAATATGGGATTTGACAATCTTCGTCATTTACGCGCCGACTTCAAACTATGACAGAGACGAAATCAAAGCGTTCTCTATGAACTTGGAGATGCTCTACAGAGAAGACCATACTTTCTTTGAGGTCGTCATTCGAGATTTTAAGGCCAAAATTGGACCCAGGGGAAAGTCTATAAACATCACATTAGGACTCACGGCTTAGAATGGAACGAGCAGGGTGAACCAAGACCATTCGTGGTGACTAACAATTCCGTAAGCGCCTTTCAATGTTGCACGTGGGAGTCTCCCAGTGGAGAGTTCAATAACGAAACAGACCACATCATAGTAAATCCAAGGTTTGCTTAACCGATGTCTTTGTTGTCCCAGAATTCTACACGGGATCAGACCATCGCCTCGCTCGTGCAAGATTTAATTTGTCACGGAAAGCTGAAAAAGAGGTTAAATTCAAAGAACGAAATCCAAAGACGACCATTATTTGGACAGTTGGATGGCCCGTCCTCACAGATTGTGGGAGCTCCAGCATATTTTCCATTTTACAGAATTTTGTTGGTTTAGCCATTCTGTTTCACTGGAGTACCGAGGTCAGCCCGGCCAAAGTCTGCCGCAGGTCGTCACCACAACACGCAGTCACCGCCTTTGCGAATCAGAGGGAGATTGGTCACCATGCGACTAGTTTGATACCAATACGCTAGTGGATCCTGGTATCGCATTACTCTTAGCTGGTCGTTCTGATGGAAAGGCCGGACTCCTTTTCAGCTTAGGAGACTGCCGTGGGGACGAATCCCCCGCTGTACATCGCAGTGGGACACCCAGGAACGCCTCCCAGCCATGATGAGGCGGCAAACCGTTGAGAGGAAGATCACAATTAATTGGAATTTATTAAGTTCACTGGTCGGCTATAGGTAAGCCGCTGTTCTTGATAGCGCTGACGAGGAATACGATCGGCTCATTCAACATTTTCTCGTTAGCGCTGTGAAAGCCGAGTTCTAAAGTCACTAAGAGACGTCTGTCTCCAGAAACACCCGAGCTGATACGCCAACGTGGAATCGGACGAGCAATGCAACCGCCATCTCGCGTCCGAACTTGCAAAACAAGGCAGACAGGCAATAAAAGAAAATCTTAAAAAGAGAAGAGCAGCAGTTATGGTGGAAGCCGCGGGGGCTGAGAGAAGCATGTGCAAAGCCCACAGAGGCCTTGCCAATTACAAAACCAAGACGATTGCATTCCAGCCCAGACGGAACAGTTGCACCTACCAGAAAAGCAGTGAAGAAAATCATTCTGTATTGCTACTCATATGAGATAAAGGAGGAAAGATATATCGTCCCACCGGTTCTCCCTCCCTTATTGTTACACAGTTCATTAGCATACACGGTCGTGATTTCAATAACTAGTGTTTCAGAACAACATGAAGTAAACACCTGTAGAGATTCGTCCACACATCGAAATTCCAAGTGGATTGGCTTAAAATCAGATTTGGACGGTCGGTTCAGAGCAAACTCGTCCTCGGAACAGTATATGTCAGTCGACGACGCGTTGTCGATATTACAATCATCGTGATAAGAAGTGCCTGAAATCAAGCAATTACAGTGGTCCCCACGAACCGCCGCCGCCACCTCTGGACACGCTTGTTGTCTGACGTGAAGCTAAACGCCGAAATGGATGAGCGGCACTTCCAGAGACGGTCTTATTTACTTCACAGGTGTAATCGACGATACATAAGCCGTAAAGCCTTGTGGTGAAAATTGGCGGAAGTTGTACTTTGTGTCAAATCTCGAGTTATCACGAAACATATGCTTGGCCGGAAATAAGAAATAAACGCAAGAAAAACAGCAAATCAAAGTTTCATCGTTGAGGGCTAATATTAACAAATTGAAGCCAATTAGTTTTAGGGTTAAAGGTAACCAACTTCCAAGGTTACACGATTTCTTTGCTTATCACGAGAAATGAACATAGTGGTGTGTTAAAATGGCAACAAATTTCTAGATTCTTCTTCTTTGCAGTAATTAGATTGAAAACGAGGAAACTCACTAGGCATCTCTTCGATGGAGCTCATGGTAACATCATCGCAGTCCATCACTAAGAGGAACTTGTGCTTCAGATCAACAATGAGCCGGTCTTGCACTAATCACGT